TATGAAAATAAGTATATATATAGATAAATAATGAATGTTATGTGCAAGTAGAGATAATGTTACTTTTTCCTTTCAAATTTAGATGTCTGGTATTTCATCTTCTTGCTTCATTGCCTGGCTAGAATTTTTACTAAAATGTTAGATAGAAGGGTGAGAATACATATCTTTTTCTTCTTCCTAATCTTAGAGTGAAAACATTCATTCTTTTACCATTGTGCATGATATTATTTATGGATTTTCACAGATACACTTTCTCAGGCTGAGGAAATTCCCTTCTAGTTCATTGAGTGTTTTATTATGAAATGCTATTGGATTTTGTCAGATTTCTTTTCTGCATATATAGAGATAATCATATTGTTTAAAAAATATTATATTATATTGCTATTGTGTGTTATATTAATTTCTGGATTTTAAGCCAATCTTGCATTCTTGGGATACATGGCACTTCTGCATGCTCTATATTCTTTTTTTAATGTTGCTGGATTTGATTTCCTAGTATTTCTTGAGAATTTTTATGTCTATATTAATAATATATATCGGTCTGTAGTTTTCTTATAATGTCTTTGCCTGATTTTAGTATCACTGTAATACCTCAGAAATAGTTGGAAACTGTTTCTCCTCTTCAAATATTTTTTAAAAAGAGTTTGAAGAATTGATATTAATTCTTCTAAAAAATTTAGGTAGAATTCACCAGAGTAACCACCTGAACCAGGGCCTCTGTTTGTGAGCTTTCTTGCTTGCTTTCTCACTCTTTTCTTTCCTTCCTTCCTTCCTTCCTTCCTTCCTTCCTTCCTTCCTTCCTTCCTTCCTTCCTTCCTCTTTCTTTCTTTCTTTCTTTCTTTCTTTCTTTCTTTCTCTCATCTCATGTCTTTCCTTCCTCCTCCTTGCCTCCTTCCTGTCCTCTCCTTCCTTCCTTCAGCTTCCTTCCTTCCTTCCCGTTCCCTTCCTCCCGTTCCTCCCCTTCCCTTCCGTTCCCTTCCCGTTCTCATCCATCTTCCTTCTCTTCCCTCCCTGCCCTTCCTTCTTCCTTCCTTCTTCCTTCCTCCCTCTCCCTTACCTTCCTTCCTTTTTCCTTCCTTTCGCTTTCTTCTCTCCTTTCTTCGCCTCCCTCACTCCTCCCTTCCTTCCAGTGCTTCCTTCTCCTCCTCTCCTTCCTCCTCCTCTCCTCCCCCTCCCTTCCCTTTCTTCCTTCCTTCCTTCCTTCCTTCCTCCTTTCCTTCCTTCTCTCTTTTTTTTTTTCTTCTGGACAGGGTCTTGCTCTGTTACCCAGACTAAAGTGAAGGGACATGATCATAGCCCACTGCAGTCTCAAACTCCTGGGCTAAAGGAATTCTCCTGCCTAGCCTCCTGTGTAGCTGAGACTACAGGTACCCACACCACCATTCATGCCTAATTTTTAGTTTTTATTTTTGTAATATGGGGTCTTACAATGTTGCCCAGGCTGATCTCAAACTCCTGGCTTCAAGTGATCCTCCTACCTCAGCCTTCCAAAGTGCTGGGATTACAAGTGTGAGCCACCACACCCAGCCTCAGCGTAGTTTTTGATTACACATTCAATCTTTTTACTTTTTATAGGTCTATTCATATTTTCTAATTATTCTTAAAATAATTTGAATAGGTTGTATCTTTCTAGGATTTGGTCTATTTCATCCAGGTTATCTAATTTGTTGATGTATAATGGTTCATAGTATTGTCTTAAATACTTTTTATTTCTAGAAGATTGGTAATAATGCCCCCTCTGTTATTTCTGATTTTAGTTATTTGAGTCCTTCTCTTTCTCTCTCTGTAAATCTACTTAAAGATTTACCAATTTAGTTGATCTTTTCAGAGAAGAAACTTAGTTTCATTAATCTTATCCACTCTTCTTTAATTCTCTATTTTATTTATATCCACTCTTATTTTTACTGTTTTCTTTCTTATTTTGGCTTTGAGATATAGTTCATTTTTCTTTTTCTAGTATCTTAAGGTAGACGATTGGGTTATTGATTTGAGATCGTCTTTAATATAGTGTTTATAGCTATAAATTTCCTACTGAACACTACTTTTGCTGCACCCCATAATTTTTGGTATGTTGTTTTGTGTTTCATTTATCTAAAAATATTTCTCATTTCTTTTGTGATTTATTCTTTTAACCAATGGTTATTTTAGGAGTTTGCTGTTGAATTTTCACATATTTGTGAGTTTCCCAATTTATTTCTTTCATTTCATCTGAAAGAACTTTTTTTTAGTTTTTCTTGTAAAGTTGGTCTGTTAAGCAACAACGTCTCTCAGTTTTTGTTTATCTGGGAATGTCTTATTTTTACTTGATTTATGAAAGATATCCTCCCAGTAGGTGTATGTTGCTGCATATAAGATTTTTCAGCATTTCTCTGAGGCTGTGTTTATTTTTCTTCATTCTTTTTTTTCTGTGTGTTCTTCAGGTTGTTTAATATCTATAGAGTTATCTTCAAGTTCACTAATTTTTTTCCTTCTGGCAATTCAAATATGCTTTTGGCCATCTGTAGTGAATTTTTCTTTTTAGCTATTGTATTTTTAATTCCAGAATTTCCATTTCATTAATATTCTTTATAATACATTGTCATCATACCTTCTTTAACTTCTTTAATCATGGTTTCCTTTATTTCTTTGAACATATTTATAATGGCTACTTTGAAGCCTTTGTCTGCTATGTCTGACATTTACTTACTCTGCTTTTGTTACTTGCTTATGTTTTCCTGTCATTGGGACAGAATTTCATGCTTCTTTAACTGCTTATAATTTTTTGTTAGAAACTAGACATTTTATTTACTTTATTTTGATTTTCTGCCCCAATATGATCTGCAAAAAACAAACAAAAAATGGACATTTTGGATAATATAGAAATTTCAGGTCCTTGCTCCCAATCCCCTTTGGGGCTTGTTATTGTTATTTAGTTATTTATGTGTTTAGTGACTGACTGTATTATTTTTGTGAAGTTTGTTTCCTTTGCAGTGGGTTAAATTATAGATGTTCATATAAAGTTGTATCCAGAATAGATTTTTAGTAAAATTGCAAAAGTAGCATGCATAGAGCATGCTTCTAACTATGGAGGCAGAAACAAGAACACCTGTGCATAGACTATTTCTGAAAAAAGAGCCAAGAAACTAGTAAAGTAGCTACTTCTGGGAAGGAGAATAAAGAACTGGTGGGCTAATAATGAAGAGAAACTCATCTTTCCTTACATTGGTTTTTTAACATATGTTTTGTTTTGCCAGGTATATATGATTCTTCATAAATGTACAAGGGCAGAACAAGTGAGATTTTTTATTTTCATTAGAATAAGAATCTTAGCAATCTCATAATAAATAATGAATATATAATTTAAATAAACATTAAATGACTTTATTTAGAAATTCTGCTTTGATTAGAGATTAATGGTGAGTGAACATGAATTTATCAAACTTATTTGATAGTTTTCAAAATCAAAGCAATCTTTGTCTACTGTTTTATCTAGTTAAGTCATTAATGATATTATAAACCTTAGCAAAGATGTCTGACTTTAGAACTAAATTGTTAACCTAGAGGAAATGCAGATAACGTTTTCATTATTTCCTTCTCTGCCCTGTTGGTAGCCTTCAGGGATGGCTATTACCTTGCCCTTGTGCTCACTTCCACATCACTGGGGTTTTCCCTTACATGGCCACTTCTCTTTGCTAAGTTTCAAGATCTTTTGCAGAGTGCATTTATTTCTCAATAATTGCAGGCAAGCAAGAAAACCACGAACTCTTTCTCTAACTTTATTGTCTGAGTTCCCCTCCCCCGAAAGGACTCTGTGCCTCCTCCCTTTAGAGTTTGGCTCTTCTCTGATCAGGTTCACTACAGCAAGATTAACCTGTCATTAAAAAAGATAATTGTACTTCAGGTTTTTCCTGTTTCTTAAATGAATGTTGAACTTAGCTCCAAACCCCCTTGCCAGAAAGCAACTGAAAAGCCCTTGGCAACAGAAAGCTTATTATTTGCAAAAGTGGGACTCCTAATTGGAAAATGTGATGGAATGAAAATAGTGAGTCCCCAGTAATCTTCTAAAATGATAATGTGTTCCACTTAATGAATATTAATGTGTCATTTTCATGAGCCTGGAGAATTTGAACCTGTGAGATAAGAATTTGTTTTACTTCAGAACCAACATGCTCACTCATTCACACTTCTCCCATTCACAGGGACAAGCCTGCCATTCTTGGTGGGACACCTCTAGCAGGCAGCAATTAGCATGTATGCAGACCTCTAATTGGTTGTGAATTTTTTTATGATTTTTTTTTCTGTTCCTGGGAGTAATTATGCATGCTTTTATACTCTTTATTCTTTTCTGTTATAAATTCCTAACAGCAAATGACCATGTATTTTACCTCTTCTTTAATTTCACTGCTTATAGGGAATGTGCAATGTGTGCAACTTAACCATAATTTAGAAGGACTGATTGTGTTATTAAGAAACACAAAGAATCTATATATCCAGATTTGTGTTGTGCGTGCCAAGACTTTTACCTGAGGCTCCACACTCATTGCAGTAATGTAGTTATTACTTAAAACATACCTAGAACTTTTCTTTGAGATCAGGTCAAGTTTCCCAGGATAAAGGAAAGTGAAAGCCTGTACTATGATTAGCTTGGTAGTGCCAAATGTGATTCACTTACTTAAGACACAGTTTTTGCATAGTAATCAGAACTAGACCTCACAAGGGCCCTGGCGTAATTAAAGCCCATCCTTGAGATAATTCCACTTTGCAAAACTTGGGGCTTTTTAAAAGAAATTTTACTTACAGTGGAAGACTTGTACACAGAATTCATTTTTCAGTCGAGCATATGTAAATGAATACTTCTTAGATATAAAAAATATGTGCCAATAAATAAATAAATTTGTAACAGAGAAAAATTAGATTTTGCCCTGCCATTTTTTAAGGAGAATGGAATTGGATAGTGTGGGAATCCTTTGTTTTGCTTTGAGCTCAAAGCCAACCTTTGTGTAATGACTTATTCTCTTCAGAGCTGAAATATTGTGTCTGTGAAAGTAATGAGAAGCACAGTGGAGACAAGTTTCTGAAGGATGGAAGAGGCTGGAGGCTGTCTGGTGGGAGAAGGTTCCCAGACACGTGAGAGACTCAGCAACAGGTAAGAAAATAAGTTGGTAAAGAAGAGACATAGTGGAAGGGTGATTTATTTAAATGTAAAATGCTATCTGTTAGGTATTATAAAAAAAAATCTATCCTATATCCCTTATGAAATCCTCAGTGAAAACTCAGTTTCATTTTGTTTAATGAGGATAAGTGCTAAGGGCTTTTCTAAGGGTTGGGTGTGATGACCACAAGGGCTACTTCCCAGGAGAAAGTTATGTTGCATTTCTGTGCTGGGCCCAAGGTAGTGATCACCAGATGGGAGTTGTATACCTTCAGTTCTCCCTTCAATTTCCAGCAATCTCCCCTGGAGCCCCTCACAGCCTGTCATCAGCCAAGTGAATTACTTCCTTCCCTATCAGTGCTGACACATTAACTTTGGGGAAATCTCAGTGCAGGAATCTCTAGCCAAATCTTAAGAAACACCACGGCTGGCAAAACTGCAACTGATAAAATAAATTTCATAGCAAATATAGGATTAGGGGGAAAACAATGAAAGTGGCATTGAATGTATGAATGTCAAAAATAAAAATTGGCATTGAATACATGAGTGTCAAAAATAAATAAAAATTGTACAAAAGCTCCATTCCCTCAAAGCAAATTTCTCATCTTTCTGAATCTGCTCAGGTAAGTAAATGTGTACCTGCATCACAGTGTTTAGCTGTTCGGGTGATGTTGCTGCTGGACGTTAAGAAGTTCACATATCTGAAATTAAATATCTTTATAACTTGAATTGCCTCGTTTCATTCTTTCTTTGGATTGAGCAGTGGCATGGGTTAGTGCTTAAGTGCCCAGATACCTAAGTTTTAAGACAGTTTGAAGCTCAGCTCTGCAATGTATGATTCCCATGATCCAAGAAGGATGAAATAACCTCTCCTTACATCATCTGTAAATGCAGATTAAAAGCATCCTAACCTGACAGAGGACCCAATGAATCAATGTAAGTAAAGGGTTTAGTCCAGTTGCTGGTACAGGGGAAGCACAGTGTGTTTACTCTCTTCTTGCTTCATTTTCAGAAGATAGACAGGGTGTTAGTGCCACCACTGGCCTGTCACAAGTCATCTCACTGGTCAACAGTTATTTTGGGGGCCTGACGTCCTTCCACTCACAAAGAGGATGGTGTATAAAGAATCTTTTTTGGCGTGACTCCAGGACTGGTCCAGTGGCTTTTAACACACAAAACCCTCCTCTTTACTGAGGAAGGAATCAGCCCAAGACTCAGGATTGGCAAATTGTGAGTTTTGATACTGATATGTAACTCATTCTTAATTATTCATCCACATGCGTTGTAGTGCCATCTCTGGAAACTGACAACCCCTGAGATTCTAATAGGAAAGATTTCTAGTGCCAGGAAGAGTAATAGCCCTAAATTAACATGACCTAAGGACATGAGCAATTTCATAATGTAAATGATGATAACCTGTAAAATTATGATTTTTATTTTCTTCTACTTTTACTGTAATAAATAACAATCTGGTAAAGAGGAGTAAAGAAGACACATACAAGGCTGCCAATATTTTAAACATTTTTAGGAGGAGAAATCTAAAAGAAGAAAGGAAATGAGATAAGACACATACATTGCATGGAAATGATAGAAAAATTTATTTAGAAAATAATCTTTTTTTTTACATTTTAGCATTTAAAAAAAATTTTTATACATATGCCCACAGGCATAGTTTTTACAAAAACATAAATCCTGAACTTAGCATGCATACCATTTTTAGTACAGTCTTTTATTCTCTTTTTCACGTATCTTCTTTCTGCACCTCAGCCAATAAGATTCACATACTCTCTCAATGCTTGTTAAAAGCATTCTGGAAATATTTTTATATATTTCTCCATGATTATAATGTCATGATTTTATACATATATAGATTTTTTTGGCCTTCGCTCTTTTAAAAAAATATTTTATATTTGCTTTTTTGAACCTTTAGTTCCTCAAATAATAAAATAAAATACAATCTTAGTTAACTGGACTAACATTAATTTATTATTATTTTTTGAATGCTGCATGGTGTGAATGTACAGTAATCAACTATTCCTCTATACAAAACCATTCATTTGGTTTACAGGATTTCCCATTTTTATCCTTTTCCTAGATTGTGCCCCCAAATGGTTATGTCTTAATTTATATTTGTTGCTTTAAAGGAATACCTGAGGAAGGCCCGGTAATTTGTTTTGAAAAAGGTTTATTTGGCTTATGGTCCTGCAGGTTGTGCAGGAAGCATGGCACCAGCGTCTGCTTTGGGTGAGGGCCTCCAGCTGCTTCTACTTATGGTGGAAGGCAAAAGAAAACTGGCTGTGCAGAGATCATATGGTGAGAGAGGAAGCAGGAAAGGAGGGGTGCCAGGTGCTTTTTAACAACCAGCTCTTGTGGGAGCTAGTAGAGTGAGAACTCACTCGCCATCCCCCATCCTAAGGGAGGGCATTAATCTATTAATCTATTCATAAGGGATTTGCCCCCCATGACCCCAAAACCTCCCATTAATTCCCATCTCCAATATTGGGGATCAAATTTCAACATAAGATTTGGAGGGGTAAATAAACCAAATTATAACAGTTTATTTCTTGATTTTGTTTTTGTTTATCCTTGTAAAATAAGCTAGTAGCTTACATTTATATTTTCCTGGCTACCAATGAGCTTTCACATATTTTCGTAAGTTTATTGGCTTTTGGGGTTTTGCTCTTTGGTAAAATTTTAAAGAATATTCACAAGTTGTTTTACTCATTTGTGTCAGTTAAAGAAGAGTCTTGACTTTTCCCTCAAATCTCATAGTTACTGGTTTATGATATGATTGTCACTCAGAATAATCAATTTTTAGATAGTTGCTCTGGTATGAATGTTTGTGTACCTCAAAAGTGCATATTTTGAAATCTAATCCCCAGTATGTAGGTATTAAGAAATGGAAACTTTGGGAGGTGACTAGATCATGAGGGTGGAGCCTTTGTGAACAGGACTAGTGCCCTTATGAAGGAAGCCTGAGGGAGTTCAACTCACCCCTTTCTATTATGTGAGGATGCAGCAAGAAGATGTTGTCTATGAAGTAAGAGCCCTCACCAGACACTTAATTTGATGGCAACTTGATCTTGAACTTCTCAGCCTCTAGAACTGTGAGCAATAAATTTCTGTTATTTATAAATTATCTAGTCTGAGGAATTTTGGTATAGCAGCCCAAATAGACTAAGACAATAGTAAAATGTATCTATGTTTTATTTTATAGCTTTGGATTTTCTATTCTGGATTAGAACATTTTTCTGCCCTTGGCTTGTACATATTGTCTTTAGGATAATCTCTAAATGTTTTATTGCTTCGTTATTTTACATGTAAATCTTTAGTCTACTTCAGAAATAATTTCATATATTATAGAAAATCAATGTCCAATTTAATTATTTTCCAGATGGGTAGCCAGTGCCCCAACACCATATATTGAAAAGTATATTCTCTTACTTTGGGAGACCAAAGCAGGCGAATCCCTTGAGGTCAGGAATTTGAGACCAGCCTGACTAACATGGTGAAACCCCATATCTATAAAAAAAAAAAAAAAATACAAAAATTAGCCAGGTGTGGTGGTGGGCACCTGTAATCTCAGATACTCAGGAGGCTGAGGCAGGAGAATTGCATGACCCTGGGAGGTGGAGGTTGCAGTGATCGGAGATTGCACCACTGCACTCCAGCCTGGGCAGCAGAGTGAGACTCCATATCAACAACAACAACAACAACAACAACAACAACAACAAAAAGTGTATTCTCTTCTAGCTGAACTGAAATACCAAATTTTTATATGTATCTGTATGTATTTGTGGATTTTCTATTCAGTTCTCTTAATCTCATTGTCTCTTCTGGCTAATAACATACTGGCTCAATTACAAAAGTTTTAGAATAGTTTGAATCCTGGCATGGCCAATGTCTTGTCATTCTTTCTTTCTATTTATTAAATACTGTTTGGCTATTATCTAAAAGTTATTTCTTTGTATGTAAACTTTAAATGCCACTTTATGTAATCATAAAAAGCACTCTCTTGGGCTTTCACCAAAATGTTATTATATTTATTAATTTAGAAAGATTTTATATTTTGTGATCTTAAGTCTGCTATCCAAAGAAATGGCATGCCTTTGGCTGGGAATGGTGGCTCACGCCTGTAATCCCAGCACTTTGGCTCACACTTGTAATCCCAGCACTTTGAGAGGTCAATGCAGGTGGATCAACTGAGGTCAGGAGTTCAAGACCAGCCTGGCCAACCTGGTGAAACCTCGTCTCTACTAAAAACACAAAAATTATTTGGGTGTGGTGGGTACCTGTGATCCCAGCTACTCGGGAGGCTGAGACAGGAGAACCACTTGAACCTGGGAGGCAGAGGTTGCTGTGAGCCGAGATTGTGCCATTGCAATCCAGGCTGTGTGACAGAGCAAGACTCCATCTCAAAAAAAAAAAAAAAAGAAAGAAAGAAAAAAAAAAAGAAATGGCATGCCTTTTCATTTTCTTAGACACTATTTTATATCTTCTAAAAATTATATCTTTATCATCAACATCCTATACCACTTCTAAATATTCATTTTTAAGTTCTTTATAATTTATATTTTTCTACTATGATGAATAATTTTTTCTCATTTATATGTAAAGGTGGTTATCCCTAACTTATAAATTCTATTATGAATTCTATTTTTTTCAGTCCTGGAATTTTTGGGCAAAAAATGTTATTATTATAAAACAATTTTAGCTCTTCTTTTTCAATATTATGTACTTGAGTCTTCGCATTTTTAGAACCTCCAAGTTAATGTTAAATTATAAGGGTTATTGAGGATATTCTTCTGACTTTTTATTTTAAGTGTTAAATATTGCCCATTTAGGGTAATATTTTCTGTTATCTTTGGTCATTTTATTTTATTTGTTTACTTCCTTCATTTTTTACTTTAAATTTATTTAAAAGAATAATAAATTTAATCTAACATCACTTCAGCATTGGATTATTTGCATGTTTTATTCTTCATTTTCTTAATATAATGTATTATGTAATAAATTTCCTGATATTAAC